CTAGAAACTCATCCGTTGCACCACTTTCTGAATGCAACATTCCATACTATAAGTAGAACCCCACTAAGCGTACATCAATACAAGGTCTTTTTTAACACCTAAACATATTAAATTTCATAATTATTATTTATTACATTAATGCTTTTTAATATGTTCTTTAGTTGCTTACACCATCAGTTCTCATTGGTCGATTGGTTAATGCCCACCAACATCTCCTAGCACTAAGGATATCAGATTATCTTTGAATACACCAAATTCTGTGATATTTCCAATACCAATGATAAGGAAGAATTACAACTTGTTATTGTGGAAGGAGTCAATCTCGTTGGGAATTAATGGAGCCAAAAGAAGGTAGTCTACTCTAGGTGCAGTTTGTTATTATTCTATTGGTGATTTGTAGCATGGAGTTGATGCCTCCTGCAAGTGAAATTACTTAGATGGAATTTGATGTACATAGCAGATTAGATGCAAATTCATATATTGTAAGAAATAGAATTGTATGACATTAAATTTATGCAATGGATTCTATTTTTTGTATATAATATTTTATTTTCTATTATGAAAGATTAAATACAAATTTAATTTGAAAAAAAGTAAACCTATAAAGAATATTTTTTTAAACATTTAAAATTATGATACACAAAAATGTGTGTCATCTTCATTTATGACATCGCCTTTCTTGACAGGGGCTTCCTTGATACGCATTGCGTGTCATTAACACGCGCGTCGTAAGCTTACGACACGTGAATGCGTGTCGTCTTCCTTTATGACAGGTCCTTCCTTGACACGAATTGCGTGTCGTAAACGTGCACGTAAATGCGCGTCGTAAATGAGCGTTGTAAATGCGTGTCGTTTATAGACGACGCGCAAAAGCGCGTCGTCTCTCTTTATGACAGGGCCTTCCTTGACGCGCATTTGCGCGTCGTCTGAGCCTTTTACGACGCGCAATGAGCGTCGTAAAAGGCTGTTTTTCTAGTAGTGACATATATAGGTCAAATGAGAAATTGAATATAAAGAAAAAATAGAAAAGCTTCATTTATTTTGGTTGAAAGAATAGAATCATATTACAATTACCATCGATACGACATAACCCAATTCTTCAAATCATCATATTTGGATCGTGAATGCTTCAACTATATGAAAACTTTTGAATCATAGCAGCTTCAACCAAATGACGACTTTTTGTAAGAAAAATGTACTAATGTAACTACATATATAATGAAGGCGAAAGGGTTTGGGGGTTTGAAATGCATGAGGTGTTGAACTTATAGAGTGTGTGATTTTCTTGAAATGAGATTATATATGATTAATTACTTTGAAAGTGAAAGGGTGTAGGGGTTTCAAATGCATGATGTGTTGGCAAATTTTTATGTGGGTTTCAAATACATGAGATTCAAGAAAAAATGCTAACTTTATAAGTATGTATGATATATATATATATATATATATATATATATATATATATATATATATATATTCTATTATTATATTCATTAATAATATTAATTGCATACTCAACAACGAAAGTGTAACATCCGAAAAATCATAGAAATTTCAAAATTTCAAAAACAACCCATTTTAACCATAAAGTGTTTACAAAACCAATGTTTCTAAAGTATAAGCATAATCAGAGTTTTCCGAGGATCCAATATCATAAAAATATGAAGATGTGCACAATCACGCCTTCGCTTTCCCACGATCATCTGAAGGATCCTAATGACGACTTTTTGTAAGAAAAATGTACTAATGTAACTACATATATAATGAAGGCGAAAGGGTGTGGTGGTTTGAAATGCATGAGGTGTTGAACTTATAGAGTGTGTGATTTTCTTGGAATGAGATTAAATATGATTAATTACTTTGAAGGTGAAAGGGTGTAGGGGTTTCAAATGCATGATGTGTTGGCAAATTTTTATGTGGGCTTCAAATACATGAGATTCAAGAAAAAATGCTAGCTTCATAAGTATGTATGATATATATATATATATATATATATATATATATATATATATATATATATTCTATTAGTATATTCATTAATAATATTAATTGCATACTCAACAACGAAAGTGTAACATCCGCAAAATCATAGAAATTTTAAAATTTTAAAAACAACCCATTTTAACTATAAAGTGTTTACAAAACCAATGTTTCTAAAGTATAAGCATAATCAGAGTTTTCCAAGGATCCAATATCATAAAAATATGAAGATGTGCACAATCACGCCTTCGCTTTCCCACGATCATCTGAAGTATCTGAAACAATAAACTAAAATTGTAAGTTAAAGGTTAGTGAGTTCCCCTAAAATACCACCACACAACATAACATATATAACATTTCATGTTATGTCTAGTCAATCATCAGACTGGAGTACCCCTGGCCTAATCAGTCATCAGACTTGAATGTCAATATATAACGAGTCCACTCAGTCATCAGACTGGAATACCATCGGATATGAATAGTATTACACCAAATATGGTGTTATACTATTCATTTCTCCCAAAATGGGGATGAACTTTGCGCTGTCGGTTTTAGTCCCTTTATTTATATATTTATTAGAGGTGACAATCGTGTCGTGTCGTGTCGGATTCGTGTCGTTTTGAAACACTAAACGTGTTGAAAGTGCTTGACGCTAACCCGATCCATTTAATTAATGTGTCGTGGCGTGTCAACCCGTTTATTTTCGTTCGTGTCGGGTTTCGGGTAGGGCTGGCAATTCTTGACATGACACGCGACACGACACAAAATAAATAGGTTTGGGTTGAGTTTTTCAACCCGCTAACCCGTCAACCCGCCAACCCGTTTATTAAACGGGTCATATATGGGTTTCTCAAAAAATAAAAGGGTTGACCCGCCAACCTGTTTATATTCTTAATAAAAAAATTATTATATTTTTAAATGTATTTATGTATCGAGTATTAATATTTAATAAGTATTATATAATATATACCATTTGATTGTTTTGACATTATTACTCGTGGTGGATGGTCTAAGGTCATAAGTCGTAACCTATAAGGCTAAGTCTGTAACATGTTTCTATGAATGTTTTTAATTTTCATTTGGATGTTTAAGACTTAAATATCTAAAATTTGGACCCACGAACCCAAATCTGACCCATGAACCCGCCAACTTGTGAACCCGTATAAATAAATGGGTTGGTGGGTCATATATGAGTTTCTGTTCCAAACCCGCCAACCCGTGAGCCGCCAACCCGTGACCTCTATAGTTAAATGGGTTGTATTTGGGTTGGCATATTTTGACCCGCCAACCTGCGACACGCCAACCCGAACACGACACGATTGCCAGGCCAAGTTTCGGGTTAAGGCTATCCCTTGAAATATGTTGTGTAATGTGAGGTTAACAGATTGAGAATGTTGAAATAGTAGGAGTTTGGTAGGCGGAAAATAAAAACTAATAGTTTGGAGGCAGAATATATGACGTCATAGCAAGTTCAGATGACAAAATTAAAATAGTGGAAGTTGGGGAGGCAGATGACAAGGTCATGAGGATTTAAAAGGGGTGAAAGAGAGTAGATAGTTTGGAAGAGAATGGAAAAACTAAAATGAAGTATTGATCTAGACGACTAAGTCATTTCAACATTACAAAACAATTCAATTCGAAATGTTTTCTTTTTTACTTATGATTTTGATTTTGTATCTTTCTATATTATTTAAATAATTCAAAAAAACTTGCATATAAATAAACGGGTCATTTTCGAATTATATTCGAGTTGAAATTCTCAACCCTAACCTTACCCATTTAATTTCCGTGTCGTGTCGTGTCAACTCGTTTATTTAAACGGGTTAAAATATCTTACCCAAACCATTTATTTTGTATCGGGTTCATGTCGGGTTTCGTGTCGTGTCAATTTTTATCACCTCTAATATTTATATATTTCTAGTTCATTTTTATCTACTAATTATAATTTAAATATAATATTTAATACTTATAATATTTTATTATATATTAAATTATATTAATTAATTATAAATATAAAGTTTGTTTTTTGTTTCATATAAAGATTTAAATACATATTGAAATTTTAAAAGACGAGAACGATATTTTATAAAAAGTTATAATTAAAATTATGTATGTCTAATATTTATATAAATGTATGTATAATATTTATTTAAAAGTGTGTGTAATATTTTTTATAAATGCATGTATAATACTTTTTATAAATACTTTTTATAAGTTTATTATAAATATAATCTTTTATATTTAATATTAATATAATGAAAAAAATATAGATTATATATTTATTAAAACTAAATTAATAGTTGATGTGTTTGATATTATTTTATTTTTTACTTATTTTTTAAAAAAAATAAAGATAAATAAAATATGATTAAATGAGTTTGAGAAAAATTAGGAGAAAAAATAAAAGAAACAATGGAAATGAAAGTGGGTAACCTCACAATTTTTTTTCCATTCCACGTGTCAGTCTAGGAATGGGTGGGAGCATTTAAACTTATGAGTACATACCCACATGCGAACTTTACCCACATGCGAACTTTACCCATCCTTCAAAAGTACATCAAAAAACCCTAAACCCAAGCTTCCACCTTTTCCAAAACCCTAGCCACCTCTGCCAAGCATACAGCTCACTCCCCCAGCAAGCTGCTCTTTACCCCGACGCCGGAAACCCGCCATGTCCGAACTCGAGCTTAATCGTTCAGAGAAGAAGAAAAAGAAGAGCAAATCCAAAGACCAAGACACGATCAACAAAACTTCCGACGATGCCACTGACGCTGTTGATTATCTCATTAAACCACAGAGCTTCACTCCATCGATTGACACCTCCGAATGGCCGATTCTCCTCAAGAACTATGACCGCCTTAACGTTCGAACCGGACACTATACGCCACTTCCCTCCGGCTACTCTCCTCTCAAACGCCCCCTCGCTGAGTACATCAGGTATGGTGTTATCAACCTAGATAAACCTGCTAACCCTAGCTCGCACGAGGTTGTAGCTTGGATCAAACGGATCCTCCGAGTCGAAAAAACCGGCCACAGCGGTACACTCGACCCAAAAGTCACCGGAAACTTAATCGTTTGCATCGATAGAGCCACTCGCCTTGTTAAATCACAACAAGGTGCTGGAAAAGAGTACGTATGTGTTGCTCGACTCCATTCCGATGTGCCTGATGTCGCGAAAGTGGCTCGCGCATTGGAGACGTTAACAGGTGCAGTTTTCCAACGTCCGCCATTGATTTCAGCTGTTAAAAGACAGCTCCGGATTAGAACCATTTACGAAAGCAAACTCCTGGAGTATGATGCCGATAAGCATTTAGTCGTGTTCTGGATCTCGTGTGAAGCTGGTACGTATGTTAGAACACTCTGTGTTCATTTAGGTTTGATTTTGGGCGTTGGTGGACATATGCAGGAACTGAGAAGAGTCAGATCTGGTATCATGGGAGAGAAAGATAACATGATAACTATGCATGATGTCATGGACGCACAATGGAGTTACGACAATTACAGAGACGAAACTTATCTCCGCCGTGTGATCATGCCATTAGAGGTCTTGTTAACCAGCTACAAACGATTAGTCGTGAAGGACTCTGCTGTGAACGCAATCTGTTATGGTGCTAAACTGATGATTCCAGGTTTGTTAAGATTCGAAAACGACATTGAAAATGGTGAAGAAGTGGTGTTGATGACTACAAAAGGGGAAGCGATTGCTCTTGGGATTGCAGAGATGACTACAGCTGTAATGGCTACTTGTGATCATGGAGTTGTGGCGAAGATCAAGAGGGTGGTGATGGATAGAGATACTTATCCTAGGAAATGGGGGTTAGGGCCCACTGCTTCAATGAAGAAGAAACTGATTACCGAAGGGAAACTGAGCAAACATGGAAAAGCAAATGAGAAAACTCCGGCTGAGTGGCTGAGGAATGTTGTGTTGCCTACTGGCGGTGATTCGGTGGTTGCTAGTCTTGCAGCTGCACCTGTGCAAGAAGAAACTGTAGAAGCTTCAGATCTGAAAGTTGTTGACAGTGAGAAGAAAAAGAAGAAGAAGAAGGAAAAGGGTGTTGAAGATGAAGGGCAAAAGAGGAAATTGGAAGAGGTTGATGTTACAGATCCAGATACACCAGTAGCTTCCAAGAAACAGAAGGTTGAAGAAGGTGAGAGTACTGAAAAGAAGAAGAAAAAGAAGAAGGAAAAGAAGGATAAAGAGGGAGATGAAGTTGTATCAGAGGAGGATAAATCCGAGAAGAAGAAGAAGAAGAAAAAGAAGGATAAAGAAAATGGTGATGATGCCTCTGTTACTGTTAGTGATGATGAAGCAAGCAAAAGCTCGAAGAAGAAGGAGAAGAAGAAAAAGAAGAAAGAAGCCGAAGAAGAGTGATGATGATGTGTAAGTTCTTGATATGTGCACATTTTTATAGAGACAATTTTCGGGTTTTGTCTTTGTTTGTTAGTTTATTAGTTCTGCACTTGTAGTTTTTATTGATGTTATTTGTTCATTAGGTATAAGTTTTGAAAAAAATTGGAACCTTTGAACTTGAGATTGTTTGGATTGAGTTTATTTATGATATCTCAGTTGGATTCATGGGAGTGACTTAAGTTGTCAATTAGGTTGTGCGGTAAGGATGGAGAAGGCTACGCGTAGAGCTTACGTGGCAATGCCACCTATGTGTGAACACCGCCCCAGGTGTGCGTAGTTCCTTGTAGCGTGGGCGCAGCTACGGGCGAAGACGGACCATGTGATTGGTTAATGCCTTTTTTCTGACTGTTTCCTCCTTTGACGTTGCGAAAAAAAAAAAAAAAAATCAAACTAAAAGTTAACATACATATATAAATACATACACAATTTAAACAAACATATTTTCGATCGTGCTTTCAAACATAGATATGAATAATTTTGCGGGTTATATTTGTATGTATATTTTGAAAGATATGTTTAATTCACCTGCAGTAATGCAAGTCGGCAGTTCGGGCCGGTATACTTCATAAGACTTTTGGAAATACAAAACATTTAAAACACATCACAATCTACGTTATGATTTAATTGAGCATATATGGTAAAGGCAATTGTAGCAAAACGATGACAATGATGACGATGATGATGAAGAAGAGGATGTTGACGAGTAATATTTTCTAGGGCTGGCAAAATTGTATCATAAAAACCAACCAACATGTTACCAGCCGAATCAAGAAACTTGGTAGCCAATATATTTGGTAGCCAACATGTTTGGTTGGTAGTACTGTACCAATTAATTAATGTTAGTACGGTAATGATACAAAAATTGAAATATTATGGTAATACCGTACCAACCAATTCATATATATATATATATATATATATATATATATATATATATATATATATATATATATATATATATATATATATATATATATATATATATATATATATATATATATATATATATATATATATATATATATGAACTGTTAATTGTTTTTAGTGTTTATACTTTTAATAACATTATATTAGTCATTTGATTGTATTAGTCAATAGTTATTATCACGTTAAAGCACAATATTAAAATGTTACTTTAGCGCTATTTCAGTAGAATTTTTTTGTAAACTAAAAGAACTACGTAACTAATTTCTATACTACAAATCAAAATCCCGATGTTTTTGCTTATTTTTAAATCTTATAATAGAAAATTAAAAGAAGTTGATATATATCATTACCAATTTGTACCAACCAAACTTGGTACGGTACCGGTAACAATTTTTTTATACCAATTATAGTTGACACAGTATACGGTTTAGAGAAAAATAAATTGGTACCGTACTAATTCCACCCCTAATATTTTCTATGTTTTTTTAGTAATTTATGTTTTAAATGATTATGTTTTTTTAAGTAATTTAGATTTTAAATTTTTGTTTTTGAAATTAATGTAAAATGTTTTTAATTAATATTTATGTTTTTATTTTTGTTTAATAATTATTTTTAAAATTATTCTAATGTAAAAAAAAAAAAAAAAAAAAAACTTTTAAAAAAATGACATGGAGTGTTAACCATTTCCACGGATTAGCGGATTGGTAGTGAGTTTGTAATGAAGCTGATATGACGCTGATGTGACATCATTTTTTCAGTGTGTTGAGTATGATCATACCCTTTAACCTTACGTACGGATTCATAGTTTTAAATACATTCAAATTTAAAAAAAAAAAAAAAACCCGTATAGTTGCAAAATTCTTACATTTACAAATATCCTCTCCCTATTTTAATAAATAAATAAGTTTAATTTCCTACTGACAAGTTTCACAATATTAGAAATCCTCATCAACCTATTAATTTTCCATTTTAAATTTTAAATTTTCCATTTTAATTATATTAAATTGATAATTGATTTTTTATTTCAAATTTTAAATTTTAAGTTTCACTCTAATTACATTAAATTAATAATATTAAAAAAAAAATTAATATATTATAAGGTGATATAATTTCATGTATTTATTTAAATCAACAATTATAATTTTATATAACTAAAAAATATCTCTTAATCAATAATTTATTTGAAACATCTGATTAATAATTTTAAGTTTTTACTATGAAAGTTTAGTTAATTTTATAAATGTGGTTCTCACGGATTATAAACTAGTAATAAAATAAGTTAAACAAAAACTTATATGTCAAAAGGTTTTAACTATCTTTTGCAAATTAGATCAAGAGCAAGTTTTTGTTCTATCTATTTGGTAGTTTGTCCCCCGTGTTATGGTAAAGATGGCCATTGTCTGGCTTGTGTGTTTGACATGCCTGTTACTCGAATTATGGCTCATGACATGCATTGGATTATGACACATAACAAGACCAAAGAAAAAGTAATGTGACTATGAGTATGACTCATGACATATATGAGTATGACTCATGACATGCATTGGACTGAAAGTGTGTCACACATATCAAGACAAAAGAAAAGGCAATGTACTGTGTGTATCGAAATTTTTTTGAAAAGGCAATGAGACTCATATGACATGCCAATATTGGACTTAGACTGATGTCAACTGGACAAATTTTTTTGAAACCCATAATATTACATCATCATAGAAAGGAAACATAATTTCATAAGGCAAACACATAAATGGAGAATTCATTAGAAAATGACACATCTGTGTACCCTTTTTTGTAAACAAATCAAATATCCTTCAACCAAAACTGCAACCTTAATTGCATCATTTACACAAAAATCAAGAAGAAAAAAAATATTATTGTTTTGGCAAACAATTGACGAAATTACCCTTTTTCACCACCACTCCCCCTTTAAAAATAATCCCAACAAGTCACCTCTGCTGGCATTGAACATGCATATCACTCCAAGACATACAACACTTCATCTTCTTATGGTGAGGGTGATCATGAAACTTTGGTTCTTTTGGTATTGTTGGTTGCTTTTCTGACCTTTAAAATAAAAAATATTAATAAAACATATAAGTATGTTGTTATTATTATGTGTAAAGATAATGTAAGTACATTGCTATTATGAGTTACATATTTAGTTACCTTCTTGGGATGAAAGGTCTATCAAAGTAAGGCATAGGTTGAGCCTTTGGTACAAGTTCCTTCCTTAACCTCTTTAATTCTTCCTCTTCTTCCAACTACATCAAAATTAAAGATTCATCAATGGGGTTGATTGATTGATTGATTTCAGTTTTCAAGCATTATGAGATTTTGTACCTTTTGCTGTTTTTCTCTTTCCAGCTTATATTGCTCAATATAAGAGAGCTTTTCATGCACATGATGATCAAACTCAGCACGCTCAACTGCCCTCACATCACTATGCAACACAAGATCGATGGGTTTTGTACTTTCTTTCACAGGTGGTTTCACCAGACACTGAGATTAGTATTACTCAAATTTGTGAGATAGTTTTTCAGATATGATTGTATATAATAAACTTGGAGAAAGATCTGAGAAATGTTCTGACCTCTGGTTCATCTGTAGTAAATGGGAGGCCTTGAGCAATGGGAATCCGTTGCTTTTGTTGTTGAATTATCATCTCCTGGACTTTCTTCATGAACTCTTCTTGTTTTGTTTGTCCTCTTTGCTGCAGATTCATGAGGAAATGTGCTCAATTCAAGAGGTTTATAAAAGGTATAAGAAGTTTTGTAACTTAAAGTGAACTGTAAAATGTAAATGCCAACCTCTGTTCTAAGCTTGAAAGGTCGCTGGGAGGTAGCCTTGAGTGTTCGTCTTTTCCATCTGCTGGCTCCAGAACTTGAAGATGATGAATCAGAACTCTGCATAGTCGAATAAAAGTTAATAAATCAACATAAACAAGAAGGAACGATCTCGATTTTAGAAAAACTGTGATGAACGATGACTTACGTTTCTTCTGCTTTGACGAACACCTCCTGAAATCCTGTTTGAAGTGCTAAAACGTAGAAATAAACCCATTTAGAATAGAAATTAAGCATGTTTAACAGAAATTTCATAACAGGGTTTTTAGATGATGATCAACCAACCTCCCATGGCTGCCATCAAGTGAAGAACGCAACCCTAGATTTTCTGCAGTGAGTAAAAGATCAGATGGGTTGAATGAAGTGGAAGAGAATCGTCTCTCAGGATTGCTGTTTGTCTGATCTTCGAGTTCATCCTCATTTGAATCTGGTAACGTGAGAATATTCTCGAAGGCCTTGACCAAATGCAAAACTCTTCCAGATCCAGGTTCAGGAATACTCTTTCTGGCTTCATCCAACAGTTTCTCCCTTCTCCTCTTATCACCGGACGTCTCAAAAACGTCGTCTTCTTCGGATTTTCCTTGAAGATCTACAGGTAAACTAGGGTTTTCTTCTTGAACAGCAACTTCACTCCGATTGAAAAACCCTTCCTGAGAAGCCCTAAGAGTCTCATAAGCAACACACAAACATTTGTCCGAATTACCGTTAGCCTTACACTTACAATCGACTGAAATCGGGGTTTTATCCTTGTCTCTCTTCGAATTCTTCTTCGCCACCACAAACTTCCTCTCCCGAATCTTGTTCTTGGGAGAAGGCGAAGAGATCCGATTAGGTTTCTTCATCGCCGATTTCTGGACGTTAGTCGCTGATTTGACTGAAGGGGAATTCAAGGCTTTCGGATTAGGGCTCGTAACGTTTGGGTTTACATTCTCTGGTAGCTTTGACTTGCTGAAATGCTTTGACTTCGACGGTGTCATTGGCACTGCTCCGGCGTTCTTGCCGTTCGGTTCCATCAGAAAATCGCCGGAATAAGGAGATAAGTTGTAGAGAGAGAGAAGACGGGGCTTGTGGGATTCAGTTTATCGGATGATCATCGACGGCGGAGAAAGAGTGGAAGAAAAAGAGAACGTTTGAGAGATATTGACGCTCTTAGTAACGGCTACTTTTGGATTTTTGGATCTTTTTAAAGTGTTGTCGTATTGACAAAATTATTTTAGGGTAAATTAACTAGGGGTGTTAGGGATGAGCAAATGGACTGGGGAACCGGTCGGAACCGGAACCCGATGGAACCGGTCGGGCCGGGACCGGGACGTTATTTTTGTGGATTTTTGGAACCGGGAATCGGTAGTAACCGGAACCGGTAGAACCGGCAAAAACCGGAACCGTATAATGCTATTTTTCAAGGACCGGTTCTAACATTTGAAGACACGACAAGAACCGGTAGAACCGGAACCA